TTAGGGTATAGTCCCCCTTAAGTAGATAGAATATGGCTTCGCGTATATCTTAATAAGATCCCCATACCCCAAATTCTATCTACTCAAGGGGGACTATAGGATTTAGGGTTTAAGGTAAACAAGTCTTTCAGCTCACACAAGACTATTCAGATTTGAGCTTTGGGGCAAGCCTCGACAGCTATACCCTAAACCCTAAACCCTATACCCCAAGCCCTAAACCCTAAACAAACCCTACTGAACGCAGTGTGGGCACTTCTCCACGTCTCTGGAGGTCTTCCGGTACAGGATGGATCGCTCCTGCATGTTGCAATGGCTGGCGGTCCATGGGTGTCATAACGTTCAAAGGTTATATTGGGGTTATATAGGGGTTATATTGGGTTATATAGGGGATAATGGAAAAGAAAACGGAGGCAATGACAAAGACAAATACCGCTGACACGCAATAGCATGAAGAATCCCTGGGTATGCTAAATCATGTTGTTGCAAGGGCCCATGTTCTTGAAACTCAAGCGGGAGCGATAGCAATCTGGGACTTAGGGCAGCTGAGGAATCATGATGTTGGTCGCTCGTGCCTGAGCGCAGGAGTCAGGAAGTCTGTGAAAGGTCAGCGGGACCTCATAATCCCTTCTTATCACTATTTAACACGCCCAACCATGCCTGTAGATAAATGTCCTCCACTATATATGGTCTGATCTGAAAATATTGAATATTGGAGATTAACGGTTTAATGTTCTGATATTAGTATGAAGGACTAACTATCTTGGTTTTGGGCCAGTTGGGGCTACAACGTGAACTAACTAATTTGAGACTCCAGGTCAAAGATTGCTTTCATACTTTTCTTGGATGGGTATCAAGATCGCTCAAAGGGTAGGGATTTCGTGCGATTTCCTTGCTGTACCAGAACCGCTGCTACTGCGACTGGACTACGGCTAGTGGACCCATTACTCTCATGGCTTTACACTTTCCACTTTGGCCATTGTATTAATGTGGCTATAAACGCCTCACCTCAGCCCCTGAATCCTGTAGACCCCAAACTACCCTAAACCCCAAACCCTAAACTTTAAACCCTAAACCCTAAACCGCGACCTGCCACGTTTCGGCTACCTTTAACACATGCCCCGCGGTCAAGAGAAGGACTCTCGCGGCGTTTAACCGCACCAACGGTACACGCAAGGCAGCTTTGGCCATGATGCGTGGGTTGAGGGCTCAGGGTTTAGGGTTTAGGGTTTAGGGTTTCAACCCTAAACCCTAAACCCTAAAAACTAGAACCAACTACAGGAGGGGAGTTTCCAATGGGGGGAGTTTATATAAAGGGTGTATGGGGGTTTTAATAGGGGCCATGGGGGGTTTAGGGGGTTTAGGGTTTAGGGGCCACGGGGGGTTGTACAAGAGGTATATAGCGCTTCTGTAAGGTCCCTACACGGTACTTCCGCTCTTTTGCCTTGGATTTAAGGGTCGAGGCCTTTGCCAAGTAAGTTTCTAAGGTTTGTGGTCTAGGCATCAGTTTACAATCTGAGGTTGTGGAATAACAATGTTCACTGGCTTGGGCTCTAAAGCTTTCGGGTCCAAGCGATATGGACAGTGGCGTAGGATTCGTTTTAGGGTTCAGGCTTTCGGGTTTAGCGCTTGAGGCTTGGAGTAGTATCGAAACATATCGAAACCATCTACGACAAGAGGGTGTTGGAGAACAATGGAAGGCGCGCTTGTTAGAACGAGACTTGCACCAAACCCTACAATCGATGGGAAGCTCAGTCCTAAACCCCCTACAGCCACAATCTTCAGCCCTAACCCTAAGGCCCCAAACTCCCAAAACACCAAATCCCAAGACCTAAGCCTGGAAGCCTCAAGGCCCAAAGCCTTGAAACCCCAAGTTCTAAGCTTCAAGAAATGAAGCCTTAAAGCCCTAAACCCTGCCTTTGGAAGCGTTTCACTAGAAAGTCGTGCGACGTGCTGGGGATTTCGATTCCCTCCCCTGCTTCTCCCTCTAAGATTTAAAGTTTTCGGGCTCAGAAGTTGGGAATGAATTATAGCAATAGTGGGAAAGAACATGGAAACTACTATTAAGGGTTTAGGGTTTGGGGTTCTTATTGGGATAATGGAAAATAAAATGGAAACTACTATAATGGGTTATATGGGGATTATAGGGCATATACTGGGGTTTAGGGTTTGGGGTTTGGGGTTTGGGGTTTGGGGTTTGGGGTCAAGGGTTTGGGGTTTAGGGTTTAGGCATTAGGGGTTAGGGTTTGGGGTCTAGGGTTATTCAGGTTTTGCGATTGGGCTTGGGCTTCGGCCTAGCTGTTCCCATCGACAAGAAAATCACACCCCAAACTCCCTAACAAAAACTGTCTCATGATTCTACCGCTTCACTGGCCTTTAAGTTTACAGCTTTGCCTTTCACACCTGACCCTAAACCCTAAACCACAAACTCCTCAACCCCAAATACTACACCATTTTCATGAATACATACATGGTAGTTTCCCAAAACAAGGGAACCCCCATATAGACACCCCTAAAATGGCACACCTAATTTTGGGAGACCCCCACGAGTGCAGAAAGAATCTGACTAAATTCTAGATTGTCGCTATGAATCCCAACAAACTGCCATCATATGAGCCATAGTCTAAACTCCTAGGTCCCAGGATCCCCCTTATGACCCCTATAGCAGTCCCCTGTATATTCCTTCTACAGCCCTCTTTAAGGAGTTTAGACTATAGCTCATAGATTGAAGGGGATGTCTATTTCTACAGCGTGGGAATAAGAAAGAGGACTTCTATTGTTTGCAGCAGGGGAGTTTCTCGGCTCCACCACTTCTCGCCGCGATGCACCTGCACCATGTTTGGTGCTTCGCCAGAAAGGTTTTAAGGCTTGCAGTTAGGGAGGTTAGGTCGAAATTATAGTCGCTATATTGGGACCTTTGCATACCTAAGATGTGCAAAAATTACATGGGATGTTCATGGCACGTACCCACTTGAGGTACGGTCAATATTTCCAATATAAAGCATGGACATGACTTTCTACTTCAGTAGGGAAAATGTTAGGGGGACTATGCTAAACTACCCCAAACGGAACCCGTCGTTCATCCTGAACGGTCCCTGGGAGAGCCTAGTATTGACAGTGGCCCATCTAGGGTTTAGGGTATATAGTCCCCCTCAAGTAGATAGAATATGGGTATATGGGATCTTATTACAATATACCCCAAAGCCATATTCTTTCTACTTAACGGGGAATATACCTCCAAAACCCTCATCCCTATAAACCACTACACAATTGCAGTGTCCATCTGATTGTTCATGTTCTTTTCCATTTGATTCTCCATTGTTGGGCCCTGCATCCCACTAATATCCCCACTCATCAGGAAATAATCCTAAACCCTAAAGCCAAAACCCTAAACCCCAAATCCTAAGCCCTAAATGGTTCCTTGGTAAGACTAGTATGAACAGTCTCACATCAGAAAATAGCTTCTGATGTTTCTAGATCCCTAAACCCTAAACCCTAAACCCAAAATGGCTCCAAGCCGCAAGCCCGGAAGTCTTAGGGCTCAAGGTTTATTGCTTCTCAACACTAAGGAGTTCATAGGGGATATACAAGGGGTATATGGGGATATCTAAGGTTTCGGTTTTCCAAAATTGGGAGGTACCCTTTCGGGGGGGTCCCTAAAAAAACAATATTGTGGTGTCTATATTAAGGTCCCCTTCTTTATGGTAACCCTAAGCCCTAGACCCTAAACCCTAAACTAGCTCATTATGAAAGGAAAAGGTCGACTACCCACCGGCCAGACATCCTGGAGCTAGGCCTGCCCCAACCCACTTCAAGGATTATAGCGGTTATATGGGGGTTACATAGGGATAATGGAAAAGAAAATGGAAACTATTATTAAAGGTTTAGGGATAGGGCTTTGGGTTTAGGACCTCAAGATTATGCCCCTAAACCCGAAACCCGAAAGGCATGCAGAGAACCTTGATCTGAAATATTTCAAGCACATGCCAAAGAATTTTGGGCACGGGCAGTGCCTTGATTGCTCTATGCAAAAAGGCTCTGGCTGTTTCGTCAACGAGACAAATGTATGTCTCGAGAGTCTTAACCTGACAATCTAAGCCTGAATCCTTACTCAGATTTTTTGAAGTAGCCAAGCAGTGGGACCCTTCCATCCTTGCATTTCTTGCAAACCGATGTATCCAAAACCCCAACACCCTGCTGCCAGTCCGCCATCTAGAAGAAGATGTAGCTCTCTTCGAAGTAGCGGATGAGCTCTGCGAAGCGGGCTGTGTAGTACAACTGGTGGTTGTAGATCAAACGTCTGGGCCTATGGCAGGCCGGGCTAGCACTCCAAAGCCCTGATGCTGGTAAGGGTTGAGGGTAATAGTAATAGTAATAGTAATAGTAAAAGTCATAGTAATAGTAATAGTATTAGTATTAATAATAAGAGTAATAGTACTAGTAATAGTAAGATTCTGTTTTTTTCCAAACCTATCTGCCCAGCGCTTGGGAATTAGCGATTAGGCATTCGGTTTAAGGTGCTTTTGCAAATGTCTTCACCAAACCTTTTAACTCTATTTGCAGCCGCTCTTCCTAAGCTATGCCAGCCATAGTCTAAACTCCTAGTACCTCCTAAATAACGCTGTAATACTCCCGTATTGAAATTCCTATATAACCCCCTTGAAGGAGTTTAGACTAGTACATGGCTCATGTGTGCAGCGGAAAGTCTTCAACCTTGGCAACAACCCCCAATCCAACGCTCCAAACCTGCAACCCAATGCCTGCTTTGATAGGGGTTTAGCGTTTAGGGTTTGGGGTTTAGGTTGTGGAGGGAATTTTGAAAAATAGTGATTTTTAACCTACTTACTAAGTCCCCCTGACCCTAAACCCTCCTAAACTCTAAACCCTAAAACCCTCAGTCACAGTAAACCACTGAAGGGTCGTTAACCTACTTACTAAGTCCCCATGACCCTCCAAAACAGCAAGCGCCAGACCGCAACGAATCCCTCTCCTGGGGGCTTGGCAGTTCTCCAGGCTCGAACTTTCGGAAGTTCTGCCGGGCCTGCGCAGGTTCGGTATGGAGGGCTTAGGATTTCGGGCTCACTGAAAGAGACCATAATATTGGTAGTTATCCAAGCATCTACATTATATTGCCCATAATTTTGTTTTTGAGGTCCCGCAAGCGGGACACCAAGCATGTGCTTAGGGAATTTTGTATACACTGACCAACAACCCAAAATCAGAATAGCAAAAAATTGAACCCTCCCTTACATATCTGAGTCTCCCTACGACTAGAGGAGATTATACAGGGAGGGTACAGACGGTGTATAGGAGTCTCTTTTTGAAACCGGGTCTATGAATATCTAAGAGGATCAGATCTACGATTTAAAGATGTCCAAAATCAAGGAATATGGGCGGTATGTACAGGAGGAAATTGGTTAAGGATGATCAGGCGTTTCTGAGAAAGCTGGTCTGTGGGGCTAATGCGGAGCATGGTATTTTGTCAAGTGGCAAGGAAGCCTAAGCCCTACAAGCCCTAAACCCTAAACCCCTAAACCCTAAACCCCTAAACCCCTAAACCCCTTCTAGTGAAACAGCGAGAAAACTTTGCCCAGACCAGTTTATCCTGTCTCATGCCGCATCCCCAACTCCCGTCAGGCTGAACCCTCATGACCACTAAAGGGTATATAGGGAATATGGGAATATATTAGTATATCATATGGGGTATGTAGGGATAATGGAAAAGAAAGTGCAAACCCTGGGTAATATTATAGGGATCATGGAAAAGAAAAAGGGGACCCCGGGTATTGTTATAGGGATAATGGAAAAGAAAATGGAAACTACTATTTAGGGTTGAGGGTTTAAAGCTGAACCTTACACTTTTCTGACCTTTGGCTGGGGAATTTCTGCGCCTGCTGGACGAAGGCAGCACCAAAATGCAGGTTCACGAGGATGGCCTAAGCTTCTCTTTTTCCACCCTCCACCAGGACGTGACTGGGTTGCTGTTAAGGAAGATAGTTCAAGCTACTATACTGGGGAAACCATATCAGTTTATACATACATAAATATACATGTATACCCATCATGGTAACTTAATTTGTTCCTTAACGGCAAGCCAGATGAAGGGCCTGCAACAGAAAGGGGAAGATCTTTAATCAGGAGTTGTGTGCCAGCCAAGAAATGTTTTGAAAAGGCTTTCATGCAGAAACGCCTGAGCGATTGTTGGCAGCTGCTTTAGGATGCTACAACACCATGCAATGGTTTAGGCCTCAACTCTCCAGAAAGTTCTCGGACTTCAACCATTTCTGAGTACCCGAGTCTGCATGCAGAGGCTTCATCCACATATGTATCTTGAAAACGGGAGTATGCAAAGTACGAAAAGATACCACCAGAATCCTCCGCTTCAATCCGTGCAACATGCAGATAAGCTCTGCATGGGATTGTTGCCAAAAGTGCTCCACAAAGGGTAGTAGCCTGGCAACGGCCGTGCCTGGCCTCCCCAAAGCTAACACTTCAAAGGTTGAAACCATGGGCACCCAGTACGGGCCTTGAACCCTGGGATCCTGGTATACCTATTACATACCCCGGAAAGCGCAAGGCCCCATATTAGGGGCCCATACTTCTAACCTTAGAACACTGAACCCAAACCCCTCCTTTCAGCAGACACGAGTCTTTGCATGGCCCTGCTAGGATCGCATGACACTTTAGGGCAAGCCCATCAAACCCAGCTCATGATTTTGAAGAACGTGGTAGCGTAGACCTATGATTAAGAAACCCCCTCCTTTCAAGGGCCTGAATATTAGGATCTCCATTATCATCCCTATAAAGGGAAGGGGCTTGTTAATCAGGGGTCTGGCTTCCAGAACACCCAGGAAACTACAGCAGGCTTCACTGGAAAGTGTTCCTAGGCTCTCGCCCCCCATGGCGACCGCAAGGGAAAATGCTAAGCATACTAGGGTCCCTACGTGTTTCTATTATACCGTTGTTACTACGTACTTGGAGGGTCATGGGGACTCAATAAGTCGGTTAATAAGAGGAATAACTGGTGTGGTGATATCGCTTATGGGCGTTATTAACGTACTTACTAGGTCCACATGACCCTCCAAGTATAGTCCCCCTTAGATAGATAGAATATGGCCTCGCGTATATTATCATAAGATCCCCATATACCTCATTTTCCATCTGCGTAGTTGGGACTATAACCCCCAACATATACCCTATTATAGTATGGTAGTTTCCATTGTCTTTTCCATTATCCCTATAAAACCCCAACCCTAAACCCTAAACCCTATATAACCCCATTGTAGTAGTTTCCATTTCCTTTTCCCTTATACCTAAATCCTAAACCCTAAACCCTAAACCTCCTAGTATCCCACTCAATAACCCCTGTAAGAGTCACCTAAAGAATTCCCTATTCCCTAGTAACTCCCCTTTTAACCCTCCCCAGATTTATTGGGACTATAAGCCTAAGCCAAGAAGTTCCCACTTCTTGTTGCCAGGGGCACCTCGCGCGAGTGAGGGATCCTTGGCTGGCGCTTACAGGGATTAGGGGTTTAGGGGTTT